ATACGACTCACCGGAAATTGTGCCACTTGTGATCTCGGAACAGAGGGCAAAAAAACCAAATGGGGTCTTTACATGAATCATGGGAATGGCGTTGAGAAGTGAAAATAATGTCACTACAGTTCGTGTCACTACGGAGACGACTTCCAGATCCTCTACAACACGTACACCAGGCATCTATTGGAATACGCTAGCCGAATTGGTCACTGAACAGCCCAATGGAGAGTGATACAGCTCGCGCATGGACTGTTATCCACCCCTTTCTCTATACGTCTTTCCTTCCTGAATCCTCTTACCCTCTTAAAGCTCTTCGGATAGAAAGTGACATCTTCCAACTGTACCATCTCTTCAAGTTTGACAGAGTGGACGACTTCTTGGGCATAGTATGTAACTCTTCAAAATGCGCGCCCGTACAGCAGTCTGACGGTGCTTCCACCTACACGAACATTCCTTTTTGGAATAGTCTCCCCAAGAAGGTCCACTTTCAAACTTAGATTAGGTCTCATGTCGGTCTGATCCCTGAAAGGCAACCATTTCTGTGACCCCTATGTGCTAGTAATGTTTTGTAAGATTTTCCTGAATTTCACGATATCTCGCACTGCATGTAAATACTGAACTTCTCCTATTTATATCGCCTTTCGGCCAACCCTCTTGGATAGATGGGTCGTAGATACACTCCCATTATCCAAAGACCGCTGCAGTGCAGCCTCGAACGGACTCGGTGAATCGGGACACAGGAGCAGAAAATTCGGAAACCATCAAGACCTGGGACCATTGGTCTTAGTCTCGCACCCGTGTAATACTTCGAGACATTTGGCAAAATCATGTTTTGCAGTGTCTGTAAAAGGACTGAACGCATGGGTGTTTCTTACAGACACTGGTTTATCCAATGTTCAAATTGATCTTTATTTGCCCAATTTTCAATTCAAATAGTGGAACATACCTTTGCAATTTGCTGAATATTTTACTCTTTGGCCTGTATCCGTTCCCCTGGCAGACATCTGATGCCTCACTGGAGTTCCCACTACGGTTCTATTTCGTCTGTTCGCCGAGCTTGGCAATTTGTTTGCAAACGTTTCATCGCCAGCTAGTGTGACATCATCAGTGCTTGCGAAGTGGCCTTCCAGTTTCGCCAAGTATTCCTTGTTCGTTACATTTCTGATGTTGAAGTGAAGTCCATTAATGAGGATTCGTTTTTCATCCTGTGTGATCACGCGATTGGAGAAATTTCGGACCCAATTTTCATTTTCTTCGATTAGCTCGTTATCATCCAACTTGAGAATGCTAGTTTTCTTTTTCTTTTGACATTTTTGACACGTCGACTTACTGCATCCTCCAGCTGTTCCATCTGTCGTTCGCTCAGTATAGTTCGACAGTTCTGCTGTTCTTCTTGCATAACCTCCTTGTACTTGGTAAGACGTCTGTGAGCGTCCGAGATCATCGTGCGCACCGAATTGTCTTGAGATCGGTGGTCTGATACACACTCCGTGGAAGTAAATTGCGCCGTAGGCATTCGTGAAGGAAAAATAGCTGCTCGTGAGTGGAGACTTCTCGACACGCGAAAGCCTCCCATCGGCGAGCTGCCTTTGCTGTTGTACGCTCGAAAACAAGCACTGATGATGTCCCCTCGGCTGGTGATGAAACGATTGCAAACAAATTGCCAATCTCGGCAAACAGGTGAAATAGAATTCAGTTCACCCGAGCTACGAGAACCGATTTTCAATACTTTTCCACTATGGTGTTCAGTCACTGTGACTACTGACAGATGCAATCAATTCCAATCTGCGTGCTTTCGTGATTTTACACGGCTGCTTGGTTGCGGACATATCCGCAACACACAACTTAGTTTAACAATTCCACCGAAAGCTCATAGCCTCACTTGCACTTATGAAGATACTGTTGGACAGAATATCTCCTACTCACCCTCCTGAGCATTTACTCTACCATCAAAAGAACAGCTCGGCTTATAGAACTACCTCTTTCGTCTATCAGGTGATTTGCTGCAACCACCCCCCGCCTCCACCTTATCCATTGACATTTGCCGATCGATTGCGAGAACAGTGAGTGTACACATGTAGCCATGTTTCCATTCATTGCGACGCTACGCAGCGTCCGCTCCAAGCACCATACAGAGTAACCTCTTTTTAAGGCAATGTTTGTGTTTTGAATCGCAAGGGAACGTAAGTTTTGGTAAGCACCGATTGCTTAAAACCCGCATAACTCGACTCCAATTGGTTTGCCCGCCACACAACCTCTTGATTTTGTTCCCTCACATGTTATCCCAGAACATCCCCCGAAAAATCCATCACGTACATCCAATATCCCACATTCTACACACGCATTCGCATCTTGGGGCATTCCATGTACAACACATGCAGTCACAAAAGTGCGCTTTCATGCTAACTTTCTGGAACTTTTCACTTTTGAGCTTACACTATCGAGTATTTAGTACACATCTCACTCTGAAAAGCAGGTAGTGCAGTGCATTACTTCACCATACAAGTTTACATGCCGTTACTGTACAGCTTGATCTAATAAACAAAATAAGTTATAACACAATACAAAATGGGTCTAAGATTACGCAAATGTTCTCGGTGTTGCTGATGCATTAGGGGAATACATTATCAGTTATCGTCAAGCAGTCCGCTGACTGTTACCGATCAACCGGAGTCACACTTCCGAGAATCAGGATATCTCAATCGGTTGAATGGTGTTCCTGAGATTCTGTCCCGTGAAACTGTCACTGTCTTAGTATTATTCATATATGCAACATATTTTTCACTACACTCTTTCTCATGGTATGGTCTCAACCTACAACCGTGGCGGCCCAGGTGGCATAGAACGAAATTGAAGTTTCACATTATCCCAAATTTGGTGTTCCTCCCGTGTAACACCATCATTTCAACTTCCTGGAGTTCTCTCCACGTAAGAAACCCACCTGAGATTGCCCTCTGCTGAACAGCAGACTTCGTAGCTCCAAGCATTCAGAATGTGTGCACTCATGAGATCGCTTCAGTTTGCACGAAACATTTACTTTTAAACTAAAATTTAGTCTCTGGTTGGCTAACTGTTTGACTTAGCTTTGGAATTAATATGCTTTTAAATTGCCAGTTGCAACATACAAAAAGAGAAAAACGATTGACAACGGAATTAAATTTTTCAAGCTGAAAAACTCCCATAATCGCAGCTATTAGATGTAACACAACATCGAGAGACATGGTTTCGAATAGATCAGGTGGACTGGAGCAAAGCCATGGCAGGTTAATCATACATTTGGTCTGCTTCAAATTTCAAGGAAGAAATCGACACAGATCGAGATTTGAAAGAAGGAAAGGGTGGAGAGGGGGACAAAGCAGGGCAGAAAATGTACGATAAAACAGTTCAGAATTCAAATGCTAGCAAGACTGAAAGACATCACGCATTCCTTATAGTATAAACATACGTAGACCGAGATGCGCGCGCGTGCAAATAAAACAAAAACATAAAGCGCACCAATAATCGATATCTACGACATTCATTAGATAAAAAGATAGCTTGGAAAAAGAAATAGCTGGTAGATAAGAAAACCAGTGGAAAGTAAGTTTATCCAATGGGCGCAGGCTCGTGAACGATTGCCTGAATCGCCAATTTGAGACTGACAACGGTCCGGTATAATTTGCTGCCGCTCTATGAATAGTTTTTTTCCTACGAGCGGAGTTGGAGTGGGATGTGAAGAATAGAATCGTGGATGCCGATTTGGTCTGGACGCGGTTATAGCTGTGACACGTGTACCATTGGAACTTCTAGCTTGGTACGTGGATAAATCATTCATGGCAGGGTCAGGTGATGATTCAAAGATGATCGGAGGACACTCGGATGGCTGTGATGAACAAGAAGAGATTACGAATGGTGAAGACCAAGGATGTAAGTCGTATTTCCCAAAATGGAAAGAAACGTGAAGAAAGGATTAGGTTACAGACATATAGAAATCACGTTTGGGTTTCCAGTCCTTATTAAAGATCAACAATAATTTCCTTTTGGTGACAAAAAACAGAATTATTTGGTTACAGTGAACTACTAAATCACCGTTTATAGAAACTGTCAATTCTCCTTAACTCTGGTCCACCAGGCTTTTCTTCTAGGGTAGGAACGGCACTCAGTGACGGCGAACGAAGACGAAAACTCAGTGCGTTATTATTCTTCAGATAGTTATGCTTTCTATGATATGGATTCAACCATCCACAATTTCACATTCGGACCGAGGAAAAACGGAAGCACACATGGTTCTAGGTACTCACGTAATATAATATGCAAGAGAAATGACATTATGAGAGACCTTCATAGTCGAACAGTGGATTCAGACTCATAGTTCAACATGCTACCGATGAACATTGAAGTATTATACTCGGCTAAACTTTCTAGAAAAACAATCATCTCTTAAAAATTCTAGGAATACATTCTGCTCCATACACACCATGCCCCTACAAACTGCAATTAGTTGCATGTGGATGACCGTTTAAGAATCAGTTAACCGCAAAACTACGCCCGACGTCACAGAAGACAGAAAACTGGTACAATGTATATGAGTGCCCAAGATTGCCAGGTGAACACCATTTGGTTCGAGGCTTGAACTATGACACCGACATCCAACTTTGGAGACAGGCAAGTGAGTAAGCGTCCTGATCAATACCACGTCTATTCTTCTGAGGCATCAGATAGTTCGCCGCTCCAAGCCCCACGGATTCTCTAACCGGTGGCTATAACCCAATGGTAGATATTTCTGATTATCGGACTCATCGGTTCATCAAGCTGAGGTTAGAGATACAAAAATGGGCTTTTGTCGTTAAATACAATAGAGAGCAACTGACCGGCCGTGTTTTAGTCAATGGCTTATTTATACTAAACACTACATTTACGGAATCGCAAATCAAGGGAATACTCCTTACTAATTAGTGATCCAAGTTAGCACAAATGAAAACGCTGTCAAACAATATTTGAAGAAAAAAATACGGTTACTATTTCATACATAATGTGTTTGCAACAAGAAACTCACCGAAGCCATTGATTTCGGAAGCAGTTAAAATATAATAGCAGAAATAAAAGTTACGCAAAACTGTGTGAAAACGACAGAATGTCTCCAATGGTCTGCTCAAATTTCGATTTTTAATGTAGTTCCGTAGCTATGACGTGTTCATTTTAAGGCTATCTGCACGAGAAACGAAATGTACTAAAATGGAACTCCGTTAAATGTTTCGCATTTGACTCACAGTTATTTGTGAGTAGTGGTTTGGGATAATTGGTATTGATCTGAACTGTCTATCCTTCGGATTTCACCTTTACGTACTGCAGATCAGCTCTTTTAGGAGTGAGAGTCCAGTCTAGTCCTTTAGTTGGATTAGTAAGGTAAGCGTTTGTGGTTTGATTTCATTGTGAATATGTGTCCTACAACCGTTTACTATGACACAACCTACTTGACCACCAGGCAGCTGATCAGACCGCTTTTCATTTAGCCTATAAACGATACAGCATAACCCGTCGTTACAAGGTTGTTACGGGTACAACACCTCGCTCACCTCACTTCTAGTTTTCGTTCAGTTGGAAATATTTCGATTAATTGGTACCATGGAAAACTCAACCGAATCACGGATAATCAAACTGATCGAAAATTGAACAGGTTGGCAGTTTCGACAACGATATGTTTATCAAAAAGTGATGATAATCACAGTTCTCGTAGACTAAAAACAGCACCTTTTAAATAAATCCTGGATAACATGAAAATAATTTTAAAGTGCACAAAGAAGTTTTCTGTCGTTTTTACTTCAGTCAAGTGTATGATAAGTCACACCGAAAGTACGACCATACATTGCACACCCATCTAGTCTTGAGCAACAAGCAAACTCAGTACACAGCCTCGGCAATACACCTTTCTATCATTATACATGTATCAAAATCACTATCTTTTCTGTTTGTTTGACCTCAGTGCATTGAGAAATACGGATAGTCGAGTGGCGGTAAACCAACGACGTAAATATACTCCACTGTTCTTTCGGAATAGAAAAAGAGTAATCCTATCTTAGCCACAACTGGTTCCGGGAAGAACTTAATGGAGTCTATGTTACATCATAAAAACATTACAGCGGTGATAGTGAAAAGAATATAGAACAACTATTGTCAGCTTGACGGTACATGAGTTTCGAGAAAACATTCTGCACGCGCCCATTGTACTATCACTATATATGCACGGGGATTTCATTCCCAATCTTTATCGATTCTTATCTTCCTTAGCAGCGTAAAAGATAGATGTCGTACATTTCATTCCCCCATCTGGAACAGCGAACAATAGGGATATTTGAACACTCATACAAACTCTCACTCATAATAAACCCGGACCAGTTACCACTACATATTTTGTCCAAAATGTGTGTTACAGGTTTGGAGCAAACAGATTATGTGAGATAAATGGGTCACCGATCTGGCAATTTCATGACATATGACAGATGGTGTTTCATCGGATGGCCAGTCGGGCTTAATCAAACTCACTCACATCGCACAGTAGGCGACAATCGGGACAGACCAAACTACCGTGGATCGTGTAGCCTTGAGCAACCAGGCAAGCTTTCACAGAAACCAGGCGTCCGGGGATGGTGCAAGGAATAGCTAATCCACCTTCCAGTTCAATCACCAGACCACCTTCGAGACGGGAGCACCGGAACTGGAATGAGAAAATGAATCATGTGAAATACAATAAGCACTATGTTGGGATCTCATCCGGACGACAAGATAACAAACACTTGATTCGGTTCTGGTTTGGAGCACTGAGTGCTCCATGGTGGTTAAATGAACCGGGATAAACATCTCACCACCACGATCAACACGATCCTCATAATCAGCACAAACTCGTNGTCCATAGCCAGTCTCACTAGCCCTCCCCCTACGAGAATAGGGCAGCAAGCAAGGCTGATGAGATTATATGAATTACTGGGATGTGCAGTCTATTTCTGTCTTTACTGACCATCAGAACGATTCACGGTGATTGACAAAAGGAAATGAAGAAAATTCCATCATAAGATGTGGCCAGATGTTGAGTTTCCACGCGATTCAGTTGGAATGCATAAAAGAACCTTCAGGTGATTTTGATATTTCGGAAAGAAGGGAGACCAAAATTATCTGCTCATTGGAGAACAAGATGAATCAAAAATTTCACGGAACAAGAAAAAGACCGACTGACATCTTCCGAATAAAAAGGATAGCATATTATTTGCATTTTCAGAAAAAATGCTTTAGAAACAATATGCGATAGTAAACGGATGACACAGTATAGACAGTAGCTTAAAGCAATCGGAAAATTTTGGTTTTATTCAAGGAAAAGAGAGGAATGGTAACTGGTACATCAGACATGCTTTCAAACGATGGATAGTGAACGGAGCATTCAGATATCGAGGTGTATTTATACGGCAGTAAACAAAAAACTTTTGAGGATGTCATCTAAACTACTGATTCAAAACATTCTTGTGTTCATGACATCAATTTGAAAAACTAAATTTCCGGAGGAGGATGATTGACATCACGATTGACATCACACATTCAACTCAATACTTTCAAGTTAAATGAAAATCCTAACGGAGCGAGAAAATTCTAAGAAGATCAAAAAACAAAAGAAGACGAAAACTGCAATTTATCCACCGAATGGGACAAAATCGTCTCAAGGGGAACAGTTAGGAAAAAATAGACGGTCTTTTGCGAGAAATCGTAGCCAGACGGAACAAATGTGTAACTCTAGAAATGGTATTAAACCCGGGAGGATTGCATCCAAACTGCAACACTCGGTAAAATATTAAAAGGCCTTATTCAATCTTATCTATTGTCGTACTGGTGTGAGATCAAACTTCGGAACCAATATGAGTAGTATAGTGTTTATGTTATACAGCAACAAAGGGGTACAGTTCTGATTTGAGGCCTTACGAACTCCGCGAACATTGTCTGCCGAAGGTTGCTCACATGCACAAACAATCGCAAGGCTTTTGAATGCTGTAAAAATTTATTAAGACACCAGGTCAACCCACGTTTCAGAAGTTACACATTTGCATAAGTGGTCTTTACACACTTCAGAACAATTCTATGACCCCAGTCAAACTGATCGCGTTACTTTTGAGTGAGGTATCAATCAGAGGCCTAATCATCGTTCACGATCAACACATCTCGCTATAATGTGCGCTTGCGCTCGTTTCCGGCTTCTCTAACGCGCTTCCACAGGACGTATTGCATGCAAGTTACATTTATTCCATCATTTTTTACTGAGGTACTCTAACCAAGGTGAATACCGGTTCACAAACACGAATCAGTAGAATGATGCAAATTGCACCAAGATCAAAGTGGAGGTATTTCGTGAAAGTATATGTTAAGGATTACTTTTAATTGTAGTAAAATCACCATTTCAAGGAGTTTTAGAGAAATCACCATTTTGTGGTAAAATGTAATGTAACTGAAAGTGAACATCAGGTTGCTAAGACTTTGGATTGTGTTTTTCAACGCAAGAACGGACACACTCATGAATTGTATTGTCTTCAGTATAACTTTTGTAAGCACTGAAGCTTACATTTCAGTTAGAAAACTCTAGACTCTAACCGGCACAGAGAACATTTTCAATCGGTAAAAAGTGTTTACAGACATAAGGGCATTTCATGGTCCAAGGTTTAGAAAAATAATCACTTCTTTCTCTTTTTTTAACACATCAGGACCAAACGATGTTAGGAGTGTATCGAAAAACCTGCCTTGAGAAAGGTTACCCACGGTAACCGAAACGTCGGCGAATATAATTCTCTACCGACATCGCTGTGTTATTAACTCTATAACTTTCACACTTCTTTCTCTCTTTGTGAGTAAACGTGCAACATAGAGCATACAGGTATTGACCAAACTCGTGCAACATCCTGATTTTCATTTTCGTTGAATATGCAAAAAATTGGACTTATGTTCACATAGAAGCGCTTCCACAAGATATCAACTGAGCCAGCAGATTCATGCGCCTCTCGTTTTAGCTGCTTCTCGGCTTTAATTGTATGCCAAAACCTTTTGGAAGTTTTATCCGGTTTGGGCATGGTGACACTACAGGACGCTTATTCAACGAGCCGCATATCTCAAGGTCAACTTTCGAAGATCAACTTGTGTCTTTCTTGGACTATGTTTTCAGTTCTTTCAGTATTGGAGATAATGCGTGAGTAGTTTGTAGCCTAATAATTTAGCAATTTATTAAAGTTAGAATATTTTCAATACTTTGCTTATTTACTGTGCACTGAATGAAAAGAGAATAGAAATTTAGAATGCGTGTGCTCAACCTAATAGAAACTCTCATAGGACACGAATCATTTATTAAAAAGAATGAACACCCATGCTACTTTGCCCAAAATATTTTCTAAATCAGAGCAGTAACGTTCGAACTACTGCAAATTTTATAGCGACACTCAAGGTCGCGCACATTCAAATGGTGATAGAAATGAACTAAGAGATAAAGTCAGGAATAAATAAACTGTACCCATATATAAGTAAGCTATTGCAAGTTGAAATGGGTTTTCAAAATGAGGGTGATGTTGCACGAGTTTGGTCAACACCTGTAGATGAATAGGACGTTGTGAGAATTTACAGTTTTACCATTTCTAAGCACTAGTGACGAGATCCAGCGTATTCCCAATCAAGAAAAAACATAAGTAAAGCAAGCAACCGCAACGTTTCCAGTGATAAAATCTGTGCGTTCATATGGGGCGAATTAATTATGAGTGTGGGTATTTCTACTCGAATCGAACTAGCTTGAAGTGAAACAAACAACATAGAGAGTTCGAAATGATTGGCTATTTGTCAGTATTATCACAGCACACGGATAAAGAATCCCGATAATGCACCCTTTGCGTGTGGAGAGGGCACACATCAGTGACCTAGCTGAGATGATCAAGCAAAATAACTTAGAATACTCAATGAACAAAGTTTGACGCGATCACAAACAGATATATGAAGTTCAATAACCGTATATCATTGTATTGATCATTTGATGAATTTATCGAAAGGACAGTTTATTTCGCCTACTGGATTTCGTTTTCAATGTAGCAATAGGGATTTTTCAATTACACGGAATACCTTCAAGAGTCGAGTGGTATATGAGAGAGGAATGTACACATTTTTCTTATAAAACAGAGAAAATACAACCCGATACTTCAATTTTTCACTGGCATAGATCGCGTTAGTAATACACGACCCTCTGAAACACTTATTTAGCAGATGACCTAACAGTGTGCCACATTAAACTTTCTCAAATTCAGAATGGAAATGGGAGAGAGATAGAGGGTAAGACTGTCCAAATTAGCTTGTTGGATATTCTCGTCATTTGTCTCATGCGATGGCAGTCGATCGAACGAACTCGATAAATCGTTATTTCGGTTGAGTTTTCATTAATAAGCTGGCTAGCTTAGTAAGCAGTCGCTATCTCCATTTAATAAACAGATCTTTCGGTTTTCAGCTTTCTCTATCGTACTCATGGGAGGATTGTACACATAGTTATCATTACTATTGTGTCACGCGTGTCGGAGTCCGGAATATGTGCCAAACAAAACTCAGTAGAACGATTTTTATAACAAAGAAACCGGTGCACATTGTTTCCGTGAACACTCGCTTTTGGACTCAGATAAACCCTTACCGAAAAGATCAAACCGAACATACGAACAATAGCAGCACGGAACCTAGAGTGTAGATAATGAAACTTAAGGTGATCACATTGAATAACGTGAGGTGATTGGTGGAACAATCGTCGTTGGACGCACGCTGGATTGCTGTTAAGAGCTAACACTCATGACTACACTGGCGCGATTTACTTAGACAAATGAATTCTGTTTCATTGCTGATCCAATGTTCCATTGATAGAGAAGTCAAAACCAAGCGGTTCCAGTGGACAAAACAAACGATAGTTCGTATTGAAATTGGTTCCACGGTAGGAGTACAAATTTGACGGGAGGGAGACGGAGTTTGAGAGACCCTATTGGGTGGTAAACAGAGCCAATATGGTCGCTCGCGTAGGACAAACTTGTGCGTCCATAATTTAGCCACTGATAAACGAATGCCGAGATAAAAATTTCTGAGTGAAAGCCTAAGCACAGGCGATTGGGCAAAAAGAAAATTAAAGGAAAACGAAACACTTCACAGGCAGAGTTTGTTACAAAACGCGTTCTCGTCTGTCGAGGACACTAATTCACGCTCCACAAACTCACAGTTCGCATAACTCGGTCTTCGTATGATAAACGGGATGTGCAGGGTAGCGATAAATTCTTCTCATAAAAATCTTAAACAGAGAAACCATTTTCTGTAATGGAATAGAGGGATGAGAATACCCGGAGGCGAATTTGAACTTGCGTTCAATTTTCTTCAGTCGGGTGAGGTTAAGCACGCGATACAGTCATTTTTTAGACTTGTCGACACTCATATTGATCTTCGAGACGAACCGATTTTTTCCGGTGGAACTGACTCAGCAACTTATCAGGAAACATTCAACCATAACGGTCTTATTACTCTGAACCGTTGGACGAAAGTGGTTTGCTTTCCAATATAGTTACCCGGAGGACTGCATCATCGATACCGACTGTCTTATATATGAGTCAAATTGGGAAAAGAATAAAAGAACTCCACCGGAAATTCCATGTGATCGACTGCGAAGAAGATTAACTGGGTTTC